CACGCCTCCCTCCCCCCTGCCCCCCCTGGCTGGCCCGGGTGGGGGGGTGGGCGGGTGGGAGGGTGGGTGGGATCCTTGTAGGCATCATAAGAGCCGAGGTGGTGCAGTGGTTAGGGTGCAGTACTGCAGGCCACTTCAGCTGACTGCTAGATCTGCAGCTCGGCTGTTCAACTCTCACCGGCTCAGGGTTGACTCAGCCTTCCATCCTTCCGAGGTGGGTGAAATGAGGACCCAGACTGTGGGGGCGATAAACCGCTTAGAGAGGGCTGAAAGCCCTATGAAGCGGTATATAAGTCTAACTGCTATTGCTATTGCTATCTCTCCTCCCGACGGCTCGGGGCGGGCTATGCTCTGCCTCTCTTAACGGGCCTCCTCTTCCTCCTCCTCCTGTCTGCAGCTGCTGGGCCACTGCCTGGAGGTAACCATCGCCGCTCACAACAGTGGGCCCCTCAAAGCCGAAGTCCTTTTGTCCCTTGACAAGTTCCTCTGCCGAGTCGCCAAGGTCCTGGTGTCCAGGTACCGCTAAGAAGGAGAGCGCGCGCCCTGCCTGTGCTGGGAAAGAATGGCCCTCTTCCTCTCCCGGTCTCTCCCCCTCCTTCCTTCCTGGATAAACCTCCTTCAACATCTCTTGCCTGCATGTCTTCTGCTCTGTGGGGGTTCACTCCTGGAACCCTAATGTGGGCATCTCCTCGGAGCCCTGAATTGCTAGTTGCCCTGTGGCTGCGTTGTGACCAAGCCAAGCTCTGAGCTCTCCGCAGTGGGACTGAGCAACTGAAGATCTAAAAGGTGCTTTTGGATGATTCAACCACCCTCACGTCATCCGCCACCCTTAATTTCTGAGCTGGTTCTACTTCCACTGTTGTTGCAAACTATTGTTTCCATTGCTTTCTCTCCCTTGTCGAATCTTCATTATTACAACAAATCAATAAAAGCACAGGAAAAGAGGTGCGATCGCCTTTTTCAGCGTCTGTCTCATGTTCCAAGTTGTTCTACTTGCATTGTTAGTACCGCGTGTGCTTCTCACATTTGCCATCTTGGTGTGGGTGGGCAGAGTGTAGGGAGAAGGGGGTCCTTCCTGTTTTTTTAGGGGCAGCTATGGGAGGAAAAATGTGTCAAGTATGAATGGAATGGCTCAAACTGTGTTTGGGAATGTGCATGGCAAATTCTTAAAGAATCTGGGGAAAGCTTAAGCAAATTAAGCCAAACGTTTCAAGTTCAAGTTTCAAGTTTAATTTTATTTATAGGCCACCCAATCCTGAAGGACTCCGGGCGGCTTACAGAAGGGGAAAGAAAGAAAATAAAACAAAATAAAAATAAAATAGACAAGTTAAAAAAACAACACAGATACATTCATTTCAGTCGGGGGCTGGACCTCAACAATGAGGCCAACAGCCCCAGGCCTGGCGGAAAAGCCAGATCTTGACAGCTTTTCTGAAGGCCATGAGAGTGGGTGAGGTCCGGATTTCTGGGGGGTAGTTCGTTCCAAAGGGTTGGAGCAGCCACAGAGAAGGCTCTCCTCCGGGGAGCCGCCAGCCGACATTGTCTGGCTGACGGCATCTGAAGGAGGCCCACCCTGTGGGATCTTACCGGCCATTGGGAGGAATGTAGCAGTAGGCGGTCTCGCAGGTATGCTGGTCCTAAGCCATGTAGGGCTTTAAAAGCAATACTTGTGTTTGCATAACATTGTAAAACTTAAACTCAGGTTAATCAAAGTAAATAGTTGGAGTCGAATAACAGCAATACTCAAAGAAAATGTATCATGGCTAAAGATAATAGTCTGGTTCACACAACATGGTAAGATGATGACTTGAGTTCCTATAAGTTCCCATCAACTTATTACTGATAATAGCAAATTTTCCGCATATGGTTTTTTTTTAATATAATTTTTATTTTATCAATTTCATATATACATTCACAATTATATGATCTCATAACCGTTATTAATAATA